AGAGAGCTGGACTGGTAGAGGGGCAACCGGGACAGAATCCAGTGCCCCGAATGGGACTAGAACCCGGTGTGCCGGCGCCGCAGGCGGAAGATTAGCTAAGTGAGCTGCGGCACCGGCCAAGCGTAACCCTGTTTCTTTAATACTGTCAAATACCATTACATGCATCCATTGGCACCTAAACTTCATACTCACCAGCCTTTCCATTTTTCCAGCAGCAGAGTACATTCATAATTCATATAATATAGTAGTTACAAGGTACAACTACAGTGCATAAACAATCTATCCCAGTACATCCCAGTGGGTAGGCTCTGTAACTCTCATTGTACCTAAGAAGATGCATGTGGCAAGGAAACTGGCATTAAACAGTTAAGTTATACTGAAACACATAGTGGAAAGGTAATGGTCAGTTCTAGTTAATCCTTCTGATTCCATTTAGGAGAGTCTTTGTGTCATGCCAGTGTGTTTTTCCTGCCCTTCTAATTCTTATCAACATCCATATAACACAGGGAGGAGCAGGCCGTGGAAGCAGAGCCTTTGACAGGTGAACATGCCTAGTGAACATTGAAGATTAACTAGTTTTTCATGTAGTATTTGTTTTGTGATGATCTTCTATTGATGACAAGCAATATACCATTTGGGAGAGCTTATACACGGTTTCCCTTTAAATACATGTCTTTTTGAAAAATGTGAATTCAGTAAGAAAATGGGTTTTTAAATAGCATGTGACAGGGCCACATTAGGACTTCTGTATGCCCTAGGCATTTTGTATTTGTGAATTTCTTGTTCCTTTAGTGTGTGTATGTTTGTGCGCGTGTGCGTGCCTGCGTGCACATTGGTTTATGAATGCTCTGGTTAAAAGTAAATATGATATTCAACTATAAGAATTCTTTTGTTCTTGTGATTTTAAAAGAAATTAAAAGATTCTTATGAGTCCATAGAAGTGTCATTGTTCCTGGCATTGTGCCTACTGTACCTGATGCGTTGATCCATCAGCCTTGGTATGTGTCATAGCAAAACTGATAGCATTAGTTCTTTATGGACCTTTGAGAAGTACTAATCTATTCCAACCCCTGAAGTTTACAAGAAGTAGTACTAAGGTTCACAAATGTGCAAGAACCCACCTGGAATCTCAGAGTAAGGAGGAATGCAACCAGAAGCCAGATCCCAGATGCCAGCGTGCATTAACCACACTTCTTGCTTCCTGAGGCTCTTCTGCAGCTTTGTTTCCTATTGCATCTGCTCCAGGGTCTTCATGTCATAATCAGATCAGGGGTCTCTTTCCCACTGCAGGCTTCTACTCAGGTGTGAGGACTATTCTGTGTGACCGTGACCCCTACTTCATGGATCCGCTGGGAAGGTAGACCTTTGCCATGGGATGCTGGCCAGCTCCATTGCAGAGCGTCACCCAAATCCCAGTAAGAAAAGCACAAAGGATACATCATCTGAGCATAGCTTCAGGCTCCCCTTTGTTGGACATAATCTTCTGAAGACAATTCCTCATAAAATGAGCAGCAATGGAGAAAAGAGTTTGGGATAGGATAACTACTTGTACCTTAGACCAGTAATTTCTGGGACAGGGTATATAGGGTTGATCTTCTTCTTGGAGTATCAATCTGTCACTTAAAAGTGAATCAAACATCAGTGAATCAGTTACTGGGGAATTGTTCTGTTGACAGCTCTCTGTACTGCGGAGAGCAGCCCAATACAACCCTTAAGAGTCCCCGCTGGTGGCAAGATTTCATCTCCTTCTTTCTTTATCCACAACAGATCCATATCTACCTGAGAATACCATGCTATTTGTGTTTGAGGAAATAGATCATTCTTGAGTCTTCTATAACTAGCATCATACTGCTAAAAGGTTTTGAGTTTTTATTAGCTATTTTATTGCTTATCACTACTAGATGATAATATGCCACAGGAAAGAACACATTTAGAGAATTTTTTTAACAAAAAGCTAAGACTTTTTTGTTTGTTCGCAGGTTGAACCGATAAATAGTTCTGGTCTTTTGGGAGACAGTGTAAGTGAGCCTCAGTAATTGCGCTCTTCGATAGAGCTGTTGACCCAAAGATTATTGAACTCCAATGTATTGTAAAAGTATAATTTTAATACCCCCAAAAGAACATTGGATTCGCAAGCAAATGGAACTTGTTCTGAATCCTTTCTCCAGATTGTGATGTTGGGCAAAGTAATTAACCTGAGTCTTTTTTTTTTTTTTTTTGCCTCTCTTACAGACTGACTGGAGTTAATAATACCCACTTAAGATGCTGTTTTGAATACTAGGTTATGTAAACAAATATTTATTGACTATATCCTATGTGCTAAGCTCTTTTCTAGGCATTTTCAAATGCTTTAGGGAACAAAGCCTAAGGTTACCATTCTTAACTGCAGCTGATGGTTTTAAGTGAAGGTGAATATTTCTCTCCTGGTTCTTAAGTCATTGAAGCAGAGTGTTGTCTGGGAATGGATTGGAACCAGATTTCTTTTACCTATAGTTCTGAAATATGTATCCCGCTTGATACTGCAGATTCTAAGTTGCAAATAAGCTGCTACAAGTTACTTAGGTATTTATTAGGACCTTTTTTATATTTTCACCACCTTTCAGTTCATAAAACATTACTTATTTGTAGGGCAAAATTTATATTTGCAATAACTACTTTGCACAATTACTTTTGTTAACATATAATCTATTAGTAACAATTTGCATTATAAGTTTTTAGAGGGGTAATACATATTCTATAGTGCATGAAAATTCTGAAGTAAAAGCTGTTATCTTGATAAAGAAAAACCTCATATTTGCCACTGGCCAAACGTGCACATGTGCAGCTAGCCACAAAAACATCTTTTGTCTGTGGTTATTTCCCTGATGGAACAAGTAGCTCCTTTTTAGTGGTGATGATGTCAGTGATAAAGTGATCTAGAAAGATCTTTCTTTCTCAAATTGATTTTCTGCCTGAAATCGTCCAAGTACATCCTAACCCTTCCAGATGTGACATTTGATAATCTGCAAGTAGGCTAGATAAAATAATGATAGCTAGAAATCTAAGCATATTCACATCATTTATTTGTACTTGTGTGAATTTCTAGAAAAAAATAGATGAGTTTCTATTCAGTCTGGAGCAATGAATAAAGAACTAATGTTTAGAAATTTCTTAATATTGAACCAAAAGTTGTATCACTATTATTTATAACCAATACAGGCTGTTACTGTCAGCATTATCTTCAGTGTTAAGGTTTGATTTGCAAGCATTTTTCTTCTGTGTAAGAAAAACCTTATTGCTAGCTATATCTTTATATTTTACAAGATTGCACCATTATAAAAAATTTTGTTGGCATCTCAAACTTGAAATTCCAAATCAATGTTATCTGAGGTAACTAGTTGTAATTTAATACCAGTAGGTCTTTAAAATGCATACTGTCTCTGTAGTAGCACACATGTACATTGTTGCATGGTTCCCTTCAAGGTTAATTATACTGTTTTAAAACAACAACAATAATAATAGAGGAGATAAAAAGACAAATATAAAGCTCCTCAACTAGGGAATCATTCATCTGACATTCTTGGAATGCCACACTCTAATTACTAATGTGTTAGCAGTTAGAAAAGTTATCTAGAAGAGGATATTGAGGCAAAAAAAAAAAAAAAGAAAATCACTGTCAATGTTTCTTACAAAGTCATGTCTCCATATACTTTTTTCTGTGAATGTAACCAAGAAGTTGGTCTAGAGATTTTTCACCTTGATATCTTCAACCTGTTTCACTAAAATACTTGTTAGAGTTTGAAAATCATATACAAACAATACAGCAATAGCAAGAAAAAGATTCTTCCATGGCTGTTAAAGAGGTACTGAAGAGAAGTCAGTCTGCCAGTGGGTTAGTTTTCAGTCCTGCCATCTTGGCATTCCTGAGAAAATCTTCAGACTTGGAAGGTAAACTTGTATCCTGACCCAGTTTTATCCAAGGAGCTGTTTGTACCTCATATCTGCCCACCAACTTTCAACACCAAGAGTATGTGGCTCTTTGAGGGGTTTAACCTTGATTTTGCTGCCTTCTATCCATCCTGTCCATAGAGTAGCCACAGGGTCAGATAAACAAAGGAAATTTTTTTTACTGCAAACACCATGTGTAAATCCATGCACTACTGCTACAAGCTGGTGGAGACTTTCTGGAAGCTCACTTGGCACTGTTTCCTTACCTGCTGCTGCTATCACATAATTTGGCAATACCAGGCACCTCAAAAAGTTAATGGAAAATGTGTATTGTGAAAAATTCATGTGTGGATTTTAAATGTTCCTACACCAAAGTACTTATCTGTGAGTTGCATTTTACATGAATTTTTGAAATTTTCTCCTATGTATCAAAAACCTTGAAATTGCCAGAGCCTTTGATTCTAAGAAAATAATTGTACATTCAAAGAGTTCTATAAAAGATGTTCGTCCTGACATTCCTACTAAATAAAAAATTCAAAATGCTCACAAGCAGAACCCGTTCAGTAACTTTTTGTACCTTTATAAAGTGGAGTTTTAAGCAGCTTTGGTCAGCACTGATGTTCTGGAAGAATTTCCAAAGTGGAATATCAGGATTTCTCATGCTACAATATTATGATAAAAATCTTCAGCAAAATTGCATGCACTATATGATCTTAACTATGTCCAAGTATAGGAACATGAAGGATAAAAGAGAGCAGATACCAAAATATTAGCAGTGGTTATTATTATCCCTTTCTCATGTTCCATTTTCCCCTATATATTATTCTATATGTTTGAAATTTCCTGTCACAGATATAAGTTAAAAATTCAGGAGTTAAGATATAGTAGGAAAATATCGGGCACAGTTGCCGCACGGCACGTATTCATTTTCATTCTACCTCCTTAGCGAGCTACCTACTGCTTTCTGCTGTGGCTCTTTCCTGGAAATTGACACTGTTCTCCTGCTGGAGAGAAAACAACTTTAGAGCATCAGCGATAAGAATCTGTGTCACCTCGTCTCTGTTCTTTTTCAGCACACGACGGTTTTGCCCTTTATATTAATCGAGATGAGGACATCGCACCATCAGTATCCCAGCAGGCGCAGTGGACTCACCGCCATATGTACCTTCTCTGTTGGCTATATATTATGGTAAGGACCCTGCCTGCTGGGCTTTCGTATTGTATTAGATTTTGCACTGCTAAATTTGGGCACATATTTCATTATGGATATAATCACTAACAGATTCACACTGCGTGCCTCATTTGGTCCAAGACCTGGGCTTTGTCTTGTTTCCCCCAGATGCTTATATTTTTAGAAAGTATATGCCAAACCTCACACAACAGGAATTTGTTGAACAATCCCATGTAAGCAGTGGTTCTTCCAAGGCTACATTTTTCAACTCTTTTTCAAACTAAATGTTTTTCTTGGATACCAGTTTTATTGCTTAAGGGCTTTTTTTTTCTGCTTAGGATTTTTTTGTTGTTGTTGCTTTTGTTGGGGTTGGGAGAGTTGCAGCAAACACAAGTGAGAACAGAAGAGATGACCTCTTAAAGCCCTGACTTAAAAGGAAGCAAGCTCAAATGTGCCTTTTCCTGAATGTGTTTAAAATGTATTCCAGAACTAGCTATTATATCTAGAATGTGTTTACCTGTTTTATTCCTTAAATATTGGGGTAAATAAACCGCGTGAATCTCTGGTCTGTTGGATGCAGTGAAGACACGAGTGGGAGCTGCCAAATGTATCTGATAAAGCAGTTTTGCCTGGCGAGCTTGCTTCATGTCCATTTCAGTTCTTATCATGCTAACATCGACAATTTCTTATTTCTCTTTGTAATTCCAAGTCCTCTTTGATATATTAACACACACAAAGGAGGCCCCTCCTGCCAACATGTCTGCCTCTTGGGACATTTTTGTCCTGAGTCCTGGGTCACACTCCCCTCCTTTTAATCCTGAAGGAGTGGATAGCATTCTTTCAAACGCCCCACAAGTGTATTTTATCCCATCAAAAGTCCAGGCCCAGTCTTCATGGAGCATTTTGCTCTGGGTGACCTAGAGATACAAAATAAAGGCCAGCAGAGAAGTTCACATACTAAAGGATCACATAAGGGGGCTAGCGCTGTGGCGCAGCGGCATAAAGCCCTGGCCTTCAGTGCTGCCATCCCATATGGGCACCCGTTCGTGTCCCGGCTGCTCCACTTCCAATTAAGCTCTCTGCTACGGCCTGGGAAAGCAGTAGAAGTTGGCCAAAGTCCTCTGGACCCTGCACCTGCGTGGGAGACCCTGAAAAAGCTCCTAGCTCCTGGCTTCAGATCAGCTCAACTCTGGATGTTGCAGCCATTTGGGGAGTGAGCCAGCAGATGAAAGACCTCTCTCCCTCTCTGTGGCGCTACGTCTCTCTATAACTCTTTCAAATAAATAAAATAAATCTTTACAAAAAAATCACATAAGACCTCAGATCTGGGCAGAAAGGGAACAGGCTGCCAGAAAGTCACAGCCTGTGTCTGGATCTACGTGAATACCCAGTGGACCCCAGGAGAAGCATGTGGTGAAGTTCACCACATCTGCTGTTACACTGCTAGTGAAAGTACATTGCTAAGATTGGGGAGAGTTTTTGACCCTATTGGTAAGTCTTAATGTCTTGTATGGAAGAGATGTAAAATGGTCAGGACTCACAGGGAAAACGTGACCACAATTGTATCTTAAAAATGGACGTAAATACTTTATTCAAATAAACTTGACATTTAAATGGCTGGTACCTCTCAGAAGAGTCAAGTAGGGAAGTCACATAATTATCCCAAGGATGCTTTGATGTATAAAACATTGCCTGAACCACCAACCTTTCATACCTCCGCCCCACCCCAAACACAGCCTCATTACTTTGCTCTCGTATTTGCGTACCTCTGTGAAAGGGAAATTCTTCACTCTGGGTGTATTTCTGTGAATTCATATATATGCCATTAAATTACCTGCATCTTGTGGAGCCCCTGAGGGTACAGAAGCTGTGTGCTTTCCGATGGCCTTTGTTCCTCTGTGGTATAATCAGTGTACGTTCCGAAGAGATGCTTGGGAAATACCACATAGCTCTCATTAGAGACCCCCAAGATCCCTCATTAAAGTGAAGCATTACTCATGCTCGTCATGCCAAGTGAGGCTTGCCAGCTCCACGTACTCCCTAAGCAAACCAGTACTTGTTTGGACATGTATTTGCATTAACCAGTGAATTCCCTCAGATTTGTCCTGAGAAAGCTTTCCTTTTCCTTTGGTGTTCTGCCCTAAGCGTTCATAGCTATGCCAAGAGCTAAACAGTGCCCAATGTCACGTCACATTATATAAATACCAGGATTTTCATTGTTACCAAGAAGGTACTGGCTTTTCCTCCCTTCCAGACTCTCTCAGGGCCAACATACCAGTGACAACAGCGAAAACCTCAGGGCGTGAAAACTTCTGATAGCACACCAGTGCTGTAACGGACATTCCAGACCCTCCTGCCAAGATGAGGCAGAGTCTTCCTCCTCTCACGTGCGAGTCATAAAATAAGTAGGTCTCAACTACACTACTGAGGATGGTTGACCTGATGGATCCATACCTCTGGGGCTGCTGGCCCGGCTCTCTGTCTCCTTTGCTGACTGGTCCTCCAGTCTCACAAGTCTCCCTCCCACTGGAATCTACTCCCTTCGTGGGTTTGGACAGGGAGAGTTGAAATAGCAAGAGATATCTGCATTTTGCCTCATTAGCTGGAGCCCATTGCGGTCTCACTTTCAGTGGCTTCATTTTCCAGTGCTCCCCAAGCTTAGAACCTGGAGGCCATCCCAGCCCCCTTCCACCATGTTTCTTTCTCTTCTTGCCCAGATGTTTGGGACACAAACATTGGCCTGTCCATTTGTGGGAAGCTCTTACCTCCTTTCCTGAATGACACCCCGCTGTCACCACCACCCCTACATTCCTCTGCACCCTATTTATAGGATTTACATGATAAGCAAGAGGATCCATCCAGTTTCATGCTAAATGTAATGGGGTTGGGGGGAGACTTTCTGACAATGATTATTAGAAAGCATAACAAGTACCATTCTTGGGAGCCACACTCCATGCCAAGTGCTTTTCAAATATCGTCTTATATCATCCCTCTGACACAAGCCTTTGAGACAGGCATTATCTTGCCCATTTCATAGAGCAGGAAGCCAAATTTAAGACTTGCCCAGCACAAGCTACTGGGCTGTTACCAGAACTGCAGTGCAAACCCAGGTCTGTGGCTCAGACCCTACATTATTAACCAGACCATCGTCTGCCTTTTCCTGTGTTCTGTAGACTGAAAAGTAACTCTGTGGATGAAGCTGCACCTATCACCTGAGCTCCTGGTTTCATTTTGAAAAAAATGCATCAGAAGCGGCCAAGTCTAGTGGTGTAGCCCACTTCCCAGGTTGAAATTCTAGCAGCTCCACTTAGCCTGTCTGGGCATTAGCTATTGGGATATAAAGTAGGGAGGAGGATGGTATGTACCTACAGGACAGTTGTCAAGGTTCAGTTATTGTGGTGGAGCCCCCTAAAAAATGCCTGGCTCGCAGCAGAGGTTTCTGTACCTGCTCTTATGCATCCTGACAAGCTCCTCCACAAACACTAGTGAGAGTGAGTACTCTCTTGTTTTTAAGGGCTTGAGAATTTCAATTACAACATCATGTGCTCCCTTTCTTCCTTTTACACATTCCATCCACTTATATACTCTTCACCTTAAAAATCAAAAATAGGCCAGCGCCGCGGCTCACTAGGCTAATCCTCCGCCTTGCGGCGCCGGCACACCGGGTTCTAGTCCCGGTCCGGACACCGGATTCTGTCCCGGATGCCCCTCTTCCAGGCCAGCTCTCTGCCATGGCCAGGGAGTGCAGTGGAGGATGGCCCAAGTGCTTGGGCCCCTGCATCCCATGGGAGACCAGGAGGAACACCTGGCTCCTGCCATCAGATCAGCGCGGTGCGCCCGGTGCATGTCTCTCTCTCTCACTGTCCACTCTGCCTGTCAAAAAAAAAAAAAAATCAAAAACAACTCTAAAGGCTATGAAAATAGCACTGTTAATTGTTTCTTAAGTACAAAAGAACTACTAGGATATCTTGTAGAGGAGGCTAGGTAAAACGAGGCATTTTAAGATAGCGGGATCTTGACTGCTGTCACCCTCTAGTTGCCATGTTACACAAAATAAGACATGTTCACTTCAGTGGGTGCAGGCCTCCGAGGGCTGTGTCTGTTCCTTGCTGTCCCTTCCACACCAAAACACCTGGAATGCTTGCCTCCTTGCAGTGCTGCTTCTGGAATCACTGTTGGACTGCTTTTCAGTCTACAGGACACACGAACAGGAAAACACCCAGGCCCCACCCAGGCCCTAGGAAATTTACATTCCCTAGGAGTAAACTGTGTCTTCGGGGGTCCTGAGGAGTCTTCTTCCAACCCAAAGATGTTCCTCCCATGCATTCAGATCCCAAAATCTCAGCAACCGTGCATGACACCTGCTGACCACGCAACACAATACTCAGTCTGCAACAAGTAGGCATTAGTGAGGGGGAAGAAATGGGTGTGGGGAGTTTCTTCTTTACCTATACTGATATTTCTTACCATCTCTGTGCGCTTTAACACAAAGTTGTAATATCTGTTGTCTCAGGGCCCCAGTGATTTTAGATTAATTTCATATTCTGAATCTCATACACCAAATATGTTCATTACATAACTTTCCAACACAAAAAAATAAAGCAAAATCAATATGAAGTGGTATCTTTTTTTTTTTTTTTTTTTATTTTTTGACAGGCAGAGTGGACAGTGAGAGAGAGAGACAGAGAGAAAGGTCTTCCTTTGCCGTTGGTTCACCCTCCAATGGCCGCCGCGGCAGGCGCGCTGCGGCCGGCGCACCACGCTGATCCGATGGCAGGAGCCAGGAGCCAGGTGCTTTTCCTGGTCTCCCATGGGGTGCAGGGCCCAAGCACCTGGGCCATCCTCCACTGCACTCCCTGGCCAGAGCAGAGAGCTGGCGTGGAAGAGGGGCAACCGGGACAGAATCCGGCGCCCCGACCGGGACTAGAACCCGGTGTGCCGGCGCCGCTAGGCGGAGGATTAGCCTAGTGAGCCGCGGCGCAGGCCAGTGGTATCTTTTTTAATGCAGTCCTGAAGAG